CCATTTATTTCTGTCTAGAATGATGTACAAATGAGCATTCTTGCTCATTTTGCCTCCGAGATATGAGCAAAAACGGGACGGAAAACATGAAATTTTGCAATAATCTTACGCCACCCTTGCACAAAACGACAATAATTTTTCTAATTTCATACACAACAGAAGACTGTATTTTTTCTACATAACCCCCCCCACCTGAATTTAAAGCTGGACCGCCCCTGCGGCCAATGAGCCAGTGAAATTTTCCAATATACATCTTGATCATTTCGGTTAATCGTCATTTTTGCATACTCGGATTTTAAAGATCATTGCCGACCAATTCGTTCCGGCGTCCGAACGCGGGTTTGAGTACCGCATTTGTAACAGAAGATTCTCTTTAGCCATCCTGTAAGTTTGGTTCATTTGAAATAATTAAGCTTGATTTTTGAAATTTGGAAACGTATGGTATATTTTGTCTTTTTTGCATATTCAGACTTCAAAGCTCATTCCTCACTTAAGTGGGGTCAAGTCAAGGATATTCCAAGACATCTCGAAAAAAAGCTCTATTTGGTCATCGCGTAAATTTTGGTTCATATGGATGGACTTTTCGGAATGTGGAAGTTAATTTTGTTTGATACTACGGGATTAAGGGGTGGTTGACCTGCTAGTCGAATTAATTCCGGTTCGAAACGCATCAAGCCCTACCTTCGCCCTGAATGGATGCTTCACTAATTCTCCAGCTGGCACACTCCCACCCACCGAAAATATTCGCCAATTAAGTCAGCAAACAATCAAGCAGCAGCGACTTCTCTATATACTTACATAATGCATATGTGGATGTACGCCTAGAATTTTTACATCGCTTATTTATATCCCGCAGTTAAAAATACACACAGTCTAATTATATGGCGTTCAGTTTGGGCGAGCATCGCACTAAAAACGCACCGCGCTCAGAACGGTTTTCGGGAAAAGTGTGATTTTGTCGACAAAAATTGCTCTTCAACCAGACTCATCAACGATTCCAAGCAGGAAATAATGAATGTACCAGTGGTGGCAGCGAGGTGCAGCCTTGCTCGTGCCAAAATTGGTCGTGTTGCGTGGTAGGCATCGCCGCCTCTTAGTCAAAGCTATTTACAAAGCTAATTCGGGTTTTAGTGCGAGTGATTGCATCGATAATGGCACAGGCACCGCAGCTGAAACGCAGCCACAAAACGGACTTTTCCTCCGGTCCTCCGGGTGTGATAATGAGGGAGCGCAGCTTCGTGAAGGCGAGTAGAGACTCATTGAAGCGTCGCAGTCAAACGATGGCCACAATCAAAGCCGGCAAGCCCACAATGGAGATCTACAGGCCGCCAAACGTGCGCACCGACCTCCCAAATATGTCCGGGAAGTTGAATGTGCACGCAAAAGAGTTCACCATGAGCGAGTTGCAGGCCTCCAAGTCGAGCGGCAACATCCATTTGGCGATGGGATTCGAGCCGATGCCGCTCCAGCACTCCAAGTCCAGCGGCAACATTCTCAGGCACGTCAACCACGGATTCATCCCCATTCTGCCATCGGGGATGCCCCTGCCGCTCCTCCACTCCGCCTCGGCCGCCCAACTGGTCAGCGCGATGCCCAGGCCCAACTACCACCAGTACGCCCCTGAGCTGCTGGCCCATCCAGTATTCTCCGGCCAGAATCAGCCCCAGATGTTCCACCAAACCAGCTGGACGCCCAGCTTCAACCCAACGGCTGCTCCGCCGCCGTCATTGAAGCGCTCCAAAAGCTTGGGGGCTTCCGACTCGCACAACCTCATGTCCAAACTGAAAAGCATCGTCAAAGAGGACATCGACATCAAGGCATTCTCCGAAGAAGACCAAACGAACATCAAGCTGGCAATTGAAGACCCCAACCAGTTGCCCTCGAGGACCTTGATGGATCTGGTTAAGATCATCATGGAAAAGGCGGTGGAAGGGATTAAGTACAGCGAGTCCATAGCGAAGTTGTGCGTGGCCATCATTGAAGCCGAGAAGAACCAGACTTTCCTAGAGTCGCTACTGAACACCTGCCAGCAATGGTATCAGGAGCGAGACAAGATTCTGCGCGGGATCAAGGCAGGCGATGGCACCCGGTTTACGGCCTTTATGTGGTTCCTTACGGAGCTCTACGGGCTGCTGAAGCGGCAACAGCTAAAAGAGCTGCAGGAGTCGCTCCAGCCAGCGCTGGCGCTTCTTTCCGTTCTGGCCAAGTGCTGCCAGGCGTGCGTGAGCTTGCCAATCAAGTGCCTGTCTGAGACCGAGTGTTTGTTCTTTGTGTTGACGTCCATCGGACGCGATTTGGAGACGGAACTTCCTCAGCAGCTGGACCTCTTGCTGGCCAGTGTCCGGGACGGTTTTTTGGCAAGTGCAGGCTCGGCCAACGTAGGACGCACCTTACTCCAATTAATCGAGCTGCACGCCTCCAACTGGCAACTGCCCGGCTCTTCTGTGCTCTATTACTATCCTAGAATTAAATAATTTGTGCTCGGTTCTTCCAGCCAGTGAACTTTAGTCGGAATTTTATTTATTCATTGTTTGCGTGGATGGATCTAGGACATTGTTTAGTGCCTGATAATTCAAGGTGAGGGCCGCTTTCTATTTCAAGCACATTTTCATCTCCAATACCAATGTTTCTTTCAATAAACGTTTTGTCAAAACTATACATTTGCTCCCGGATTAATTCATGATCCAGTCGCTCTACGCGATGTTGCTTAGAAGCGACCAAATCCCAAAAATGTACTTATCCTCATGGCAGCAAATCGAATAAAATGTTGCCTCCGCTTTTTATGGAACGCATGTAGGTGTTCGATAAAAATTTGAATCGATTACTGCATATTAATTGAGCATTTGTCATAAGTGGCACGAACATTCTATTTTTAAATGTTAATTAATAACTTCCACTTGCTTTAGTGGGCTGCGAAGATGTAGAATTCGGCAATTTTCCACCCAACACCGAACCTGATAATCACCTAAAAATTATCAAATATCACAGCAACTAATTGAAAATTTACTCAACATTTCTAATATTCAATATACAAGTGATATTTCCGCACAATTTTATTTTTTGGAAAAAAGTATAAAGTGCAAGTTTTTACATGACAAAGTGACGTCACAGTACATAGCCCGTGATTGAGTTAATATTGACTCAAATCCCCACTAGATGTCTGCAGTGTAATCAGGATCGCGGGTAGGCCACCTATCACACTCCCATTTCTTGCAATTATTTGCTAAAAATTCGGCGATTTCATGCAAAAGAACATAACATATTTGCAATGGTAGAAAACTTTTACTTATAACCTATTTTTTTTAGGTTTGGGACAGGAACAGGGCTCGTTGGACTGCTTGTTGGATAAAAATCTACTTTCCCTGGCTAAGTTCTTTACCAATTACCGTTAGGAGACGTTTTGTTATGTTATCGAATAGTATTAACTCAAGACATTTGTTTCTATAAAAGTACATTAAGAGTGTCTTCTGTTTTATTTGTATAAAAACGGACCAACTTTGCCTCTGAATCGTTGTGTGTTTAGTAACCAATTAAGGAACTTTTGTAGTACTAAAACCCGTATTTTTAAGATTTATTAATCCTGATTTCCTCAACACCTGTATAATAAAGTAATACCTGTCGATGTTGTGATATTCCAAAGAAAAACGCCGCTGACATCAGCCTTTAAAATACATTTATGGTACCATTTGCTTTCTGTTAACAGTTTCCGTAACTTTGCTAAATAAAGTGTTGCGCATAAAATTTATTCATTGCAGTTATTTCTGTATGAAACATTCAACGTGAAATGATGATGCATTTTTTTATCTCGTTCGTCTCAGCGTTTACAGATTGTTATTATTACTGCTATGGGATGGGGAACAATATTTTTAACAAAGATATTTAATTCTTATTTGGATTTTTAGGTTTTTGCAGTCTAGACGTTTTCCTTGAGTATTGATTTTTAATTGTATATTACTTAATTATCCAAACTTTTTTGACAAAAATTTCAGTTTCAAATTAAAAATATATTTTTTCTTTTAAGCTTAAACTTGTTTCTTATTCATTGATCTTTAATTCAACTTGTGATTTTTTAGAATTCCGCTTTACTTCGGCTACAGTTTATAATTAAATTTTTATCTTAAAATTCCAACTGATTCTAACGGTGGTCTCAAGAAAAAAATCCGTTTGGCAACGTCGAGTAGGTTTTGTTATGTGTCAAAAGTGATATTTCATGTCAGATGTCAGCCAGATGTTATCAGTTTCAATCTTTATCGATGGATGTTATCCTTTATCCTACCTAAGTGGTATTTTCTCTGCTATTTTCGCCAGCCTCAAAAAAAGCTAGTCAAATTCCTTGTGCCCATACCGTTCAAGTGGGGCTGAAAATTCGTTCCTCAAACAGTTGCTACCAGTTGTCACCATTTTTGCTCCCGAGTTTATTAACGATCTAAAGGTAGGTGTCCTCCTAGTAAACATAACAGTAGTTTACTATATTATTTTTATTTACGAGTCGATTTCATGTAACTGTTTCGTGTTGCTCCCACTTGCTGAATGTTTAGACGAATTAGGGGCAGTCAAAATACAGAATTGGACTCATTGTCAGTGTAGAATCAAGCGCAAGGTTTACTTTATTCAGGACTTATTGATTACCTTTTCGTGACCGTAAAATGAGTTATTAGCGGATTCGGGCTCGTTTGAACAGTTTAGGGGCGCTTGCGAGTGGCTAGACCACATAAACTGGTACTTTTAGAATAAATCCTATCGTATCTAAGTTGGCGTTCATTCACAGATTGATTCGGTGTGGGGTTGGGCGTCACCGCCCTTACGAATTCAGTTTACATCGCATTCGCGAACCCCCATCCGAATGGGCGAATCCACAGGGGGCGACCGATCTTCGTCGCCTCCCCGACTAACCCACACCTCGGACAAACATCCGAAAAACACCCTTACCGAACTGAACCTGCTTCGTCGCCATCGGGAGCTATGCGATGTGGTTCTCAATGTGGGTGGACGAAAGATTTTTGCCCACCGGGTGATTTTGAGCGCCTGCAGTCCATATTTCCGCGCCATGTTCACTGGAGAATTGGCTGAATCGCGACAGACTGAAGTTACCATTAGAGACATCGATGAACTAGCCATGGACTTACTGATTGGTAAGAGGCCTGCGACAATTTCGTGGTTAACTGGTCATAATTGAGATTTGATGATGTTTCCAGACTTTTGCTATACATCGCACATTGTGGTGGAAGAGTCCAATGTGCAAATGCTGCTGCCCGCCGCCTGCCTTTTGCAGCTGACTGAAATCCAAGACGTCTGCTGCGAGTTTCTAAAGACGCAATTGGATGCCACCAACTGTCTGGGCATCAGAGCATTTGCAGACACCCATTCGTGCCGCGAGCTGTTGCGAGTAGCTGATAAATTCACGTATCATAAGTTCCCGGAAGTTATGGAAACGGAGGAATACATGCTGCTGCCTGTGGCCCAACTAGTAGACATAATCGCCAGCGACGAATTGAACGTGAGAACCGAGGAGCAAGTCTTCAATGCGGTGATGAATTGGGTGAAATTCAACGTGGCGGATCGCCGGCAACATCTTGCCTCGGTTCTGCAACATGTCAGACTGCCGCTGTTGAGTCCGAAATTTCTTGTTGGAACGGTGGGGTCCGATCTACTGGTTAGATCGGATGAGACTTGCCGCGATCTAGTGGACGAGGCCAAGAATTATCTGCTGCTGCCACAGGAAAGGCCATTGATGCAAGGCCCGCGGACCAGACCGAGAAAGCCGAGCCGGAGAGGCGAAATTTTGTTTGCTGTAGGCGGTTGGTGCAGTGGCGACGCCATTGCTTCAGTGGAGAAGTTCGATCCCCAAACCATGGAATGGAAAATGGTGGCGTCGATGAGCAAAAGAAGATGCGGCGTCGGAGTGGCTGTTTTGAACGACTTGCTCTATGCTGTGGGCGGTCATGACGGTCAAAGCTACTTGAACAGCATAGAGCGATACGATCCGCAGACCGACCAATGGGCATGCGACGTTGCCCCGACCACGTCATGCCGCACCAGCGTGGGAGTAGCGGTGCTAGATAACTTGCTCTATGCGGTGGGAGGTCAGGACGGAGTCCAATGTCTCAACCACGTGGAAAGGTACGATCCAAAGGACAACAAATGGTGCAAAATCGCTCCGATGACTACAAGAAGGTTGGGAGTGGGCGTAGCAGTGCTGGGGGGCTATCTGTATGCAATCGGAGGCTCCGACGGTCAATCGCCTCTAAACACCGTGGAAAGATACGACCCGCGCCACAACAAGTGGACGCTGGTTAGCCCCATGTCCACACGAAGAAAACATCTGGGATGCGCAGTGTTCAACAACTTGATCTATGCAGTGGGAGGCAGGGATGACTGCATGGAATTGAGCAGCGCGGAAAGATACAATCCGCAAACTAACACCTGGAGCCCCATTGTGGCGATGTCATCGCGAAGAAGTGGCGTTGGCTTGACAGTGGTTAATGGCCAGCTTTATGCAGTGGGCGGCTTTGATGGCACGGCCTATTTGAAGACTATCGAGTTCTACGACGCAGAGCAGAATCAGTGGCGGCTGTGCGGCTCAATGAACTACCGCCGCCTGGGCGGAGGAGTCGGTGTAATGCGCTATCCACAAACGGAGAATCGGATCTGGTAGTTTTTGTTTTTGTTGACGCCACATTTCCTGTACTTTTAAGGTGAGGTTTGGGTTAAGTTTATCCGCGATTAAGCCCAAACATCAACTAGACCAGCAGCTGAGTCGGTGCCATTTAAATTAATCACTGATTAAAGATTTCAGGCATTTCGGAGGACCGGCTGCACCCTGGTGGCGTCAATTTGTGTACATAATAATTTCGCGTAATAAGATATGATCCAATCATATTAGGCAACAGTTAATCTAGAGAGCTGGCTACTAGTTAATGAGCGCTCCCCATTTAAAATGCGCTTTTGTAGGGAAAATAGGGATTTTCTAGATAAGGACCTTACATACGGTTGTACGCAGTGTTTTTGGCTGAATTAGTGATCCTATTTCAATTTTCTCCAAAGAGTATGAAAACGTGTGTGTGTATGTATATACGTATACGGTTAGAGTCAAGTGTATGCTTGCTTTAATTTAGTCCCAATTTTGAGAGCACCAAACTTCTTCTAACAAAAATGTATTTTGCTTGAGATGATGTTATTTATATATTTTTGTGTTATGTGTGTTGTTTGCGTGGATAATTATTATAAAAATTATAATTTTTTTTAGTGTGACGAGATGTTTATTTACTGCCCCATTCAAACTTGTTTTTTTATGAAACATCCAATTTTAGGCGCGCTTCGTATTTGAGTTTTGACTGGCTTATTGCAAAGTGATAACATTCAAATTACAACACGTTCAATAGGAGAGTTTTTGCTTGGCTCCTTAGAATTGAAGAATTTGTGTAGAAATCGTCAAAACTAAATAAATAAGGCTTTCTGATGTAAATAACCAAGATTGAAGATAATCACTTGTAGTAGCTTCCAAATCCTTTAATAGAGCACTGATTGTGAACAACTCTGTACATATGTTTGCTGAATTATCTACTTAGTAACGTGGGGACTTGACGGGCCCATTGCGACAGTTTCCTTCTTAAACGCACTATAATCCAATCAGGGAATTAAGTGACACTACAAAGCGCTCACAATTACTTAATTTCTTGCCGAGTTCTGACTAAGGCACAAATGGAATAATGCTGAACTACATATTAAACACACTCGCACAACTTAGAGCGGGGAAATCCCCGCGAAGCTCGAGCAGCTACACACAACTAGATCATTAAGTACCGCGATACTTAAAAGCACTTGAGAGTTTGAAAATTTGCGAGATCACACTTCCTTTTCGTAAACCTGTTCGGGAATGCACATGAACAATTTGGCGCAACTGTCGTTGAAATCATCGAACAGCTGCTGCAGCCATCTGGGCTTGTTCTTCCAGCCGATAGTCACCATATAGACGGGAATTCCCAGCAGAATAATGGCCAGCCCCACTCCAACTTCCACCGGGGTTTCGTAGCAGGGGAAGATCACCAAAAAGGCGCAGATTATGAAGAAAGTGATGGGCAGTGCATAGTTCACTTTGATTGGCCTGGTGGCGTTGGGCAAAGTGTAGCGCATGTAGAGCAGCCCCAACACGCTGATTGTGATGAAAAGAGCTTCGACGAACTGGACGTAGTTAATCAGCACGTAGACGTCGCCAGCAATTAGGAGAACCAGCGTAATGAAGCACTAGAAAAAAACATTTTATCGCAGTTTTTTGAGAGTTTTCCAAAAAATACCATGAATATCAGCGATGGGACTGGCGTCAGTCTTTTGACGTCGATCAGGGAGATGGCTCGGGGCAGATGCCCGTCGCGGGCTCCAACGAAAAAGAGACGCGACGAAGCGTAAATGGCCCCATTCAACGAGCCAAAGGTGGCACATGCGACGAACACTGGCATGAGGAAGGAGGCGAAGCCCAGCATTTTATCCCCAAAGGTGATTGCCACTGCATCCGAGGCCAAAATATCATTCCGGCTCAAAACCGTAAAATATGCCACATTGGTAACCACATAGATGATCGTCACCATGGGCATGGAGATGCAAATCGCTCGTGGAAGATTCCTGGAAATATTTTAGCTGAAGTATCAGGAACACACATCTTCGTTCTTCCCGCAAGATTTACCTGTAGGGATTCTTCAGTTCTTCAGTAACGTAGTTCAAGTAGTTCCACCCAGAATAAGAAAACAGTCCACTGTAGAACGAAAGCGCTATATGGGATGGATCCCAATTGGTTCCATCCATCGGCGCCTGGAAGTTCTCCGAATGACCGGTGAACAGATGCACTAAACCCGCGATGACGATGATGAGCAAAGCGAAAATTTTGGTCGCCGTGAATGTATCGGTCACTCTGGTCACCCACCTAAAATTTCAAGTTGAAAATAGGAAAGAACGCACCAATTTCAGAACAACTTAAATAAAATGGAATTTTAAGTAATGCGGCAATGGTTATGTGCACCTTGAAGAATCTAAAAATATGTCGAATGCTGAAACCCCCGAGGCTCTATGTCGCAATGGAATGAAAAAAATCGTACTTACTTGACATTATAGCAATTAATTAAAGTGAGTCCGCAAATGGTGGCGGCGGCAACGAGCCTCACAGCCTCAATGGGGGCCTTGCAGTCGCCCCAGAAGGGCTGAATAATGTATTGGGAGAAAGTCATGGCAGTGATGGCATTTCCAGTGGGGACTAAAATGAAAAGAGCCACCCAAAGGTAGAGGAAGGCGGGCAAAGATCCAAACGCCTCCATAATATAGGCATAATCGCCGCCTGATTTTGGTATCATTGTACCTGGAAATCATAATCATCCTCCATCATCTATCTGTAATTAGTCATCATTAAATGCCTAAATATAGTTATGCCGCAATATGCATTGTTGATTTTTCTTCGGAAATTAGGTACATTAGAACAAGGGCGGATCCAGCAGGGGGTCATGGGGGTCATGACCCCCCCCCCCCATTCAATTCTCTATCCAACGATGCCAAATCGCATTCTGTGGCTCGAATGGTTCTTGAGAAATTTCGAAAAAAGCAGCGTCATGTTTAAGTGGATTTTGCAACTCAAAAAAAACCACGCAGATCTAAAACTTCTTGAATTCAAGCATTTTTTTGAGAAAACTGCCAACATTTCCTTATCGATGGTTCACTTTCTAAAAAGGCTCTTTATCTCTAGAATGATTTACAAATGAGCGTTCTTGCTCATTTTGTGTCCGAGATATGAGCAAAAACGGGACGGAAAACATGGAATTTTGGCATAATCTTGCACCTAAGTGTCTAATATTCAAATTTCGCTTTCTGGGTCAAAACTACGCGAATTTCCTCACTCACGTTGTGACGACTGAATCGAGTTTTCAATTCTCGATCCAACGATGCCAAAACGAACTCTGTGGCTCGAATGGTTCTTGAAAAACTTCGAAAAAAGCAGCGTCATGTTCAAGTGGATTTTGCAACAAAAAAAAACCACGCAAATCTAAAACTTCCAGAATTCAAGCCTTTTTTGAGAAAACTGCAAACATTGCCCCATCCATGGTTCACTTTCTAAAAAGGCCATTTATTTATGTCTAGAATGATGTACAAATGAGCGTTCTTGCTCATTTTGCCTCCAAGATATGAGCAAAAACGGGACGGAAAACATGAAATTTTGGCATAGTCTTGATCCTAAGTGTTTCATATTGAAATTTCGCTTTCTGTGTCAAAACTACTCGAATTTCCTCACTAACGTTGTTACGACTGAATCGACTTTTCAATTCTCTATCCAACGATGCCAAAACGAATTCTGTGCAACGGGACGGAAAACATGAAATTTTGCAATAATCTTGCGCCACCCTTGCACAAAACGACGATTATTTTTCTAATTTCATAGATAACATAAGACTGTATTTTTTCTACATAACCCCCCTCCCCCCTTAATTTTAAGCTGGATCCGCCCCTGCATTAGAATCACATGGAATATTATTCATTTGTAGCCGCAACATATTAACAAGCCATTTCCTAATGGAAAGATGATTAACTGCCGATTGCTCACAGTAGTACACCTTTTAAGTGGTTTTCAGTTTTCGTATGATCGATAATCAGGACGTTTTTTTTTATTTCGATGCATAGCTTTCGACTTAAAGAAACGCTTCCGTACTCATAAATAGGCACTCCATGGCCATAGATTAAAGGCGTAGTCTTTGGTCAATTTTAAGTCGAAAATCCTTTACACATTTTCGCCAAAACGCAATCGTTAACGGGTTTTATGGACAGCGGCGGTGCGGGTCTTGCACAATCTTACAAATTGCTTTAAATTTTTTTAGCGGTCAGGAAAAGCTCGGCACAACTTTTTAATTTTTGAAGAAAGTCTAATACGCTTGTTGTGCTGATCCGTTCGGGCACGACACTGATTTTACCGAAGAAAAAAACGTCCAAACCGTCGGAATTTACACCGGAATTATTTTTTTCTATTTTTTCATAATTTTAATTTAACCTTTGCAGTGTGAATACAGCGTGCTTCAATTCAGAGTAGGGGAGATATGGACGGTTGAAAGGAATAAATGGCGCAATTGTTTGCCGCAAGCCCTCTGCTAATATTTGTCTATCAAACATATGTAAATGCGGTTTGTTACACATAAAACAGCTCGTAAATATGCAAAGAAAGTGCCTAAAAAAGCAGCGTTATGTTCAAGTGGATTTTGCAACTCAAAAAAAAATCACGCAAATCTAAAACTTCTTAAATTCAAGCATTTTTTGAGAAAAATGATTTTAATTTAACCTTTGCAGTGTGAATATAGCGTGTTTCAATTCAGAGTAGGGGAGATATGGACGGTTGAAAGGAATAAATGGCGCAATTGTTTGCAGCAAGCCCCCTGCTAATATTTGTCTATCAAACATATGTAAATGCGGTTTGTTACACATAAAACAGCTCGTAAATATGCAAAGAAAGTGCCTATAATGCGAGTGAACGATCCGACTTAAATTTACATGTTAAGTACGGTGGCATAGAACATAACCGGATGGTTGAACAGTCTGACGCAACATGTGCTCTGGTCAACATATGAACTGAAATTAGAGTTTACCTAACTCCGCATAGCACAACGCTCCCAGCATGGACAGTATCCCGGACAGGATCCAGACGACGATGGCCATTCCCATCGATCCCGAATACTTCAGCACACCCTTTGGGGACACAAAGATGCCAGAACCGATTATAACACCCACGATAATGGCAACGCCATCCAGCAACGTTAATTCCTTTTTCATCTTGAACCGTCCCTCGGAGGAAGTTTCACCCGACGCTCCCTTTTCCTTCGGCTTCGACATGGTCGCTCACTGGTCAGTTATAAAAAATGCCTTTTCGGATTGAACGCAATTTGAACGAGACCATGCCGCACCGTCTCACCACCACCACGTGTTTCGAAACGACGCACGAAACATCTAGCGACATAACTGGTATACCCAATACCGGTCCTACTACTACGTAGGTACGCTACCTCTACCTATTGTGGTTGAACAAGTGGGCCCCTCTTTTCCGAACAATTGAATTACGACCTAATAGAGAGCTCTCTTACCGGGTGTTCTAGGTCAAGTGCCCTTTTAACTAACGGCACAGTGTAAGTGCAAGCACAAGTCCCCAGCATTTTCCATTATAGTGCCAGGTGGGTTACAGAGTGACCCCAACATGATTGTCTATATTGTATTATTGTCTTTAACTAATAATTAGTTCGATTTGAAGGCTCTAAAAACGGTGCTTTGCTTTGCGCTTTCGACTGTTTTAAAATTCATTTGAACAACGTGAATGGAATAATGTTATTTTTTCAGCCATACTTTTATTTGGTTGGTGCCTTAATCATTTAATGAATTTAAAAATATTATTACGATTTTTGCACACAATCATCTCTTCAATTTTAATGTTAATACGGGACACTTTTACATCGATGCCAAAACGAATTATGTGGCTCGAATGGTTCTTGAGAAACTTCGAAAAAAGCATCATCATGTTCAAGTGGATTTTGCAACTCAAAGAAAACCACGCAAATCTAAAACTTCTTGAATTCAAGAATTTTTTGAGAAAAATGCCAACATTTGCTTATCGATGGTTCGCTTTCTAAAAAGGCCAATTATTTCGGTCTAGAATGATGTGCAAATGAGCGTTCTTGCTCATTTTGCCTCCGAGAAATGAGCAAAAACGGGCCGGAAAACATGAAATTTTGGCAGAATCTTGAACCTAAGTGTTTGATATTCAAATTTCGCTATCTGGGCCAAAACTACTCGAATTTCCTCACTCACGTTGTTACGACTGAATCGAGTTTTCAATTCTCTATCCAACGATGCCAAAACGAATTCTGTG